CAAAAGCTTTCTGAACCCTGAGAGATTCAGAAGTAATCTTACTTCTGAATATAAAATAGAAATAAAAATTTAGAAAAGAAGAAATAGAAATAGAAAAGAAGGACTGTATGCTGGATTCTGTGATTTGTTGCTTTACATTAAATGGCCCAAAATTCACTGCTGTCCCATATTTATCTACCCAGTTCCTAGGCAGTGGTAAGAGAAGGCGGGAGGTGAGTAATGCCGTGCTTTGACTGATGGTTCTGCTGCTGCTGGTTCTCACTGAACAGCCACTGGATGACTTAACTCAAACACATTGTTCTGCTCTTTCTTCTTCTTAACTCTGTTGTCTTGATATCTCTTTCAAGTGCACAGAGATCTATGAGTGTAGGGAGTTAAAAAAAATCATTTATTGAGGACATAATGGTCTGTCCCATAATAATGTGAGCTAGCATACGTTCATGGGCAGCCAGCTCCCATCTGCTGGAAGTGAGATGAATTAGCTGTAGCAATGAGGTGCAGAGTACTTAAAAATCAACACACCACTCAAGTGGCCATGGCTTGATACCTTCTGTGCTTCCCAGCACCCATCCTATGCCCCTCTCCTTTTTCTCCCACAGACTCTTTCTCTAAAGATAATCCTCACAGCAACAAAGAGCATTTCTGGTCAGTGAAGACCATCTGGGTCTCTGGCTTTGTTGCTTCTGTGCAGTAGCATAGCAATAGGCTGCTTTAATGTGTTGGGTGTTTTGGGGGTGTTTTTTTTCTCTCTTTTAGTGCCTTTGGTCAAGCCTTTTTCATTATGAGACTCAATTAGGTTAGCACTGACAGATACTTGTTTAGCTTAGTATCTGATAACACCATTACACCATTTCGTGTGGATATTCTATAAGGCCCCATGTTCTGTTAAAAACAAAAATTTCATTCATAGAGTGCAAGCTATGACCAATTCCTTACCTGGATTCAATACTCAGAAATAACAATAACTATTCGCTTTTCCCTTATTCATTGACAGTGTGACACAGAAGTTACTGTGTTGGGGGTGTGTGGCAGAGGTTTGGTAGTGGGGTGCTACAGGGGTGGCTTCTGTGAGCTGCTAGAAGCTTCCCCTGTGTCTGATAGACCCAGTGCCAGCTGGCTCCAAAGACAGACCTGCCGCTGGGCAAGGCTGTGGTAGTGCCTCTAGGATAACATATTTAAAAACTGAAAAAATAAAACCCCTAACACAAGTGGCAATCAGAGAGAGGAGGGAGAATATGTGACAGCACAGCTCTGCAGACACTCAGGTTAGTGGAGAGGGAGGGGAGGATGTGCTCCATGCCCGGAGCAGAGATTCCCTGGCAGCCCGTGGTACAGACCACGGTGAGGCCGGCTGTTCCCCTGCAGCCGTGGAGGGTCATGGTGGAGCAGAGACCCACGTGCAGCCTAGGGAGGACCGCCAGAGCAGGGGAATGCCCGAAGGAGGCTGTGTCCCTGTGGGAAGCTGGCGCAGGAGCACGCTCCTGGCAGGACCTGTGGCCCCATGGAAGGAGGAGCCTAGGCTGGAACAGGTTTACTGATAGGACCTGTAGTCCCATGTGGTACCCAGGCTGGAGCAGGCTGATCCTAAAGAATTACACCCCGTGGGAGGGACCCATGCTTGGAGCAGTTTGTGAAGAACTGCAGCCTGTGGGAAGGACCCCACGTTGAAGCAGAGGCAGAGTGCGAGTCGTCCTCCCTTTGAGAAGGAAGCAGCGTGTGATGGACTGACCACAATCCCCATTCCCTGTCCCCCTGTGCTGCTGGAGGGGAGGAGGTAGAGAAATTGGGAGCAAAGCTGAGCTGGTGAGGGTGGGGGGGGAGGTCTTTTAAGATTTAGGTTTTATTTTCTCATTACCCTCCTCTGATCTGATTAGCAATAAACTAACTTCCCCAAGATGAGTCTGTTCTGCCCGTGACAGTAACTGGTGAGTGATCCCTCCCTGTCCTTGTCTCATCCCACCAGCCTTTCCGTGTATTTTCTCCCCCCTGCCCAGCTGTGGAGGGAGGCCAGTGACAGAGCAGCTTCGGTGGGCACTGGGCCTCCAGCCAGGGTCAGCCCACCACAGTCACTAATGGACGTGTACCCGCTGGAAGGACTCAGGTGAACACTGTGAGGCTGTGAAACAAGCAGGGGTCCTCTGCTAATGCAAATCGTCTCTGAAGTAGGGAAACATGGATCAGTCTTCAGCTACCTTCAGCACTGTGCTCTCCTGAGTGCCTCTGCAGTTTAAGGCAGAGGCTTGCCTCCTACAATTTCTAGAAAACAATCTTTTCCAGCATTTCATAGGCTGTGTATGAAGAAATGCATTAGGCCTAATCAGGTAAATTGTATAGTACTACAGAAAGACTAATCTTTGTAATCCTTTTAAGTCTTTAGTGGTTTAATTTGATGAGTGTGAGCCATACCCCTTATTCCTTCAGAATATATTGAGAACCAGGACAGTATTTTGGATCTAAATAATAAATGTACCCATTTATTCTGTGATAGCCTATGGAAATGCAGTTAGAAGGCTTAATCTTGCTGAAGGCTGAGCACCCTCTGCTTTTCAATAGTCTTCCAGAGCCAAAAGGCTGAAAGAACACTTGAATGTAAACTAGAGCGGTGTTCCCAATTGTCCTGGCTACTGTATGAATACAATTACTGTGTTATATGGGATTAACTATTAATTTAGAGAAGAGAATAAAAGTAAGAGTTGTTTCTTCATTGTGAATGTGTTTTGGTTTATTCAGTTTTTTTGTTTGTTTGCTTATTTGTATTTTAAACAAGTGTCTTTTAAGTACTAATATGCATTAGAACTAAAAAAAGAGCTTTACATTCTTTTTTTTACCTTTTAAAATTTATTTAAATTAAGAACAAAAAGCAGAGAAATCCCTTTTTTCCCCCAAGCTTCATTTTGAAGTAATCAGAGGATTAAAAAGAAACCATTATCCAAATGGTGTTACTGAACATGAAACTACTTGAATATTCAATGTCATTCTTGCTGCAGTTGCAGATTTTGCAAGCTAAATGAAGATATTTTATATGTGCCTGGTTTTACATTGAATGCAGAATTGTACAGCCCTAGGATTAACAATGCATTTTACCAAGATCAGGAAATCAAAAAATTGGTTTTTGCACTCTGGCCTGTTGTATACACGTGACTTTTTTTTCATCAATGTAATTTTTTTTTTTTATTGTTATGCAGACAAAAAAGTAATAGTGATTGCTGTAAGTCACAGTGCAGTTCTGAACAATATAATTGCTAATACTTCCAATTTTCTGTGTGCAAATTATCAAAACACTTCCTTACCATACACATGATTACCTGAGGTTGAATTCTTTTCTCTTCTCAAAAAAAAAAAAAAAAAAATCTAGAAGTACCAGTGTGTTTGTTTTGAAGCCTGCTGCTCCATTTGAAGGTTCATAGCATCCAGAGAAAGTTCCCCATGACTACTAGGTACCTTATGTTTTGGCTATGTATGTACACTTTTGTCGTAACTTACTGTTTCCATAGCTATGTTTAATGTTTCAGAAGTAATCAAAGAAAGTCTAATCCTTGAGGCTACAGAAAACATTTTAATTTGAAAAACTCTCAGTTTATAAATCATGCAGTTCCATGTTTTAAGTTCCTTTTATGAAGCAAACCTCAAAAAGCCTGAAAAATCAAACCAAGGGTGTTGACAGTTACCATCACCCAACCAGCCTTTGCTTTGCCCCATATTTTCAAGGCTGGACCTACCTGGTTGTTGATGATCCTAATGCTGGTTAGAATTTGGCCTAATGGAAGGGGAAGATGGGCTTGTGGTTAAGGCATTAGCTCATAGAATTGGCAGTTCAATTCTCTTTTGAGTTTTGGTGATTCACATTTCAGAGACTTTATTTTCCTGACACCTAATGGCTAGAAAAAAAATTCTTTAGCAAAAAAAACTTGTGTAAAGTGTTACAAGAACTAAACCTCATGAAATGCAACGGGGACCTTGTCAACATCTCTGCTTTTGGTGGCACAGTAGACCTTGCTGCCTTCTGGCTCTGCTGCTCTGAGATGCCAGGGGTTCCCTCCCCTGTGCAGTGGTACTTGCAGAGGTGCTGAGCTGGAGGGGAGGGGGAGTTACGCACTGGCTCCTTTCTCTGACTCTTCACATCCACACAAAATTAAACTCTTGTCTCCTAGGTCAGAGTACTCTTGTGTGTGTTGGTATATAACATACCTCAACGAGGTACAACTCTGTGTATATATGTTTCTATTTGTGTGTATTAATATGTATTTTTAACCTTCATATTTTAACATATGCAGAAAGAGTAGCTTTGTATTTTAAATAGGTCCTGTTAAAAAAAATGCCTAGCTGATCCAGAAAGCACTAAGTAAAAATTAAAGACTTAGCTTTTCCTGTGAGGAGCAGTTAATCATTTCCCTGGTACGCAGAATAACAATATTACTGGCTTTCCCATGATCTTGGCTCATTTTTGTTCGATGCCAGGTGGTTGCTAGAGTTTGACAAATGATTGATTTGGTTTCAAAGGGTGCTTGAATTGCACAAAGCATTTTTCATATTAGAAAAGACATGGTCATTTTTTTCCCCAAGTTTTAAGATTTATCACCTTGCACACAAGTGTTGTAAATTAGTTTGTTTGCTATATATTTTCTCTGGATTGCTGTAATTGGTGTCATTAGTTGAAGGGCAAGTTTTACAGATGGTTGGAGGGATGGCCTTTTAAGCATACACCCTTTCATTTATTTGTTTATTTTTCAAACACTGTTACAGGGCTGCAAGTCAGATGGGTAGATTGCTACTTCCCGTTTACTCACCCTTCCTTTGAGATGGAGATCAACTTCCAAGGAGAATGGATGGAGGTCCTGGGCTGCGGGGTCATGGAGCAACAGCTAGTTAACTCAGGTACCGAAACTCCTTTACTTCCTTGACACCTCTGTTAGCAAACGCTTCCAGCGCAATCAGCTTCGCGGTCTGAAGTGCCCCCTCCTCCCCGGGTGAGCGCAGGCATCTCTGTTCCTGGCGGCTGCCACGGATGGTCCTCGGGGGGGTGCAGCCCGTGCATGCTGTGATTTGAGGGTAGCGATTGAGCGAGTGGTCTGGAGCCTGCAACAGACAGCTTGCCATTTATTGCGTGCAATAAGGAGACGGACAGATCGCAGCTGTAAAAGAGAAGCTGACAAATAAGGATGTGTGGTGTTTTTGTCTTCCGAGAAATGTCAAGTGCATTTCTAGTTATGACTCGAAAGTATCATAAACAAATAGCATCCCCCTGATATTTGGAATATCGGAGTGCTGGTCCTCCTGTAGAAGGAGAAATGTAACATCTTTCATACTGCTGTTTGGTTGCTGGGTAGATGGTAGGTTGCTTTTTGCTTTTGTTTTGGTTCTTTCCTCCTCAGGTTGGTTATTTATGAGGTTGTAAACAGCATTAAGAGCAACATAATTTATTTTAAGTGAAATTATTACAGAGCAATGTCACCTGATGATTTTGCTTTCTAAAGTTTACACATAAGTACAAAAGAAAGAGAGGAAAAATTGATGGTGTTTTTTCCTGACTATTTTTATATAGAGCATTTACATAGTTGTTTCTGAGAATAGGCTGAGAATAGGCAATTCTTTGTAAGCACAGGGCAGGCTGCATGTGCTCAAACCTCTGTTGTTCGGTGTCTTCCCGTACTATTTATTAGGTATGGGGGACTTTTGAAATATGATCCATTTAATTCTCCCAGGTGTGCTTTCAGGTACCCAAGTTACACTCAGTTGATTTTGTGCAGTTCTGTTGTTGCCTTTTCATGTGCTCTGAGTTCTTTCTGTTGAAGTCAATAACTATGAAGGGATCAAATTTGGCCCCAGTTACTTGGCACAGCTTATTTTCCTCAAAGTTTGCATGTATTTTAATGTGGCCTTTTTCCTTTTACAAAAGATACCCTCCTTCAGAGTTTCTCCCCAGCAGGTTAGTGGTTTAGGCTAACACTTTTTCTCAGGTTGTTATGGTCACGTTGTAGTAAATATCATAGAGCTTCTGATCAGCCTCAGAAATGAAAGACTACTGTGTAATACTATGTCCATCAGATGTAACACACAAATGGCCAGGCTTTCTTCTTGAAAAGCTTTTGTATTGCTCAATTTTTACATTTAGGTTCCTTTAATGTGTGCAAGAAGATCTAAACTCTGACCTCAAAACAATAACTGTGTGTGTGTGTGTGTGTACGTACGCGAAGCATCAATGGTTTCTACAGCAAAGTTTTCAATTCACTCTGCTTCAGCTCTTTTTCATGATTCTGGTCTTCAGAATTAGATCCCTTCTGCACCGAAACTCTCCTACCTGTTCGTTGTAATTCTAATCTTGCAAGAACTCATGAATTTAGTAACTCAAGTCTAGCTTTTGAATTACTTTTAGACTTGTATCATTAATACAATCAGAGATTCAGTCTCTCTCTTAGCAGTATATGTTTAGAGGGTGCAAACTCAACTGTGGAAGTGCCAATCATTTTTCATTTCGTTTAGAGAGAATTGCACTTTATGCAGCCACAGTATTGTTCTTCTTGTCCCTCCAGTAGCTCTGCAAATACATTTGGTTGCGAGAGCTGAGTCTGTTGTATTTCAGTGTGATTTTCGTGAAGCATTGGAGTCTGTTCACTACAAGTGAGGAAAAAGAGTGGCTACTAACTGTGTTGCATAATGATTACCTTGTTTGGTTTAAAGCAGCAACAAGAACAAGGTAGTTCACATTTTCAGTCAGGTAAGGAGTCTGACACCAGCCTTCCCTGGCTACAGCTGCCCTGAGTATTCTCTTCTTTAGTCCTCTTTTACAACAGTTTAAAACCCCAGTAGGTTCCTGGCATGGAACTCTCATCTGTTTATGGTGAAGCCAAGTTTGCTATCATTAACATACAGATATGTTTTTTGAGTGTGTTATGGCAGCAAGGTTCTTCCGCCCAAAACTGAAAATCCACAAGTCCAGAAAGAAGATTCTCTGTGGAGAAGATGAAGGTGAAGATTTTCTTTCCTAAACTTCGTCTTTTTTTTGCTAGCAGAACTCAAACTGCCTTCCCAAGCCATCCCACATTTGAACAGTGGTAGTTTTTTAATAGTTTGCTTTGTTTACATTTAGAATATCCTTAATGCTTCCAGTATCCACAATCAATGGATATTTCTTATTACTCTGGTCTGATGACCCTAAATTTCATTGAAACACCAAAGTTTCAGTTTTAAAACCTTCCATTTTAAACCAGTGCAGATCTGCAAGGAATTGGATCCTCATCGAACTTGGGAGAGAGGCCTGTGAGTTCCCAACAGCTCTGTCTCTGTCTTTTGTTCGAAATACGGCCTGCTCATCTTTATAGGAGACAGTGCTATTTTCAGTCAATGGAGGTTTTTAGGCAGAAGCAGATGAGGTGAACTACTCAGAAAAACACTAGGTTGTGGGTTTGGGGAGGTTTTGGTTTGGTGTTGAGTTTTTTTTGGTTTTGTTTTGGTTTTTTTTTTCCTCCCCACCATTTGTTCACTGATAATGAAATTCCTTAACTAGAGATAAGTACTCCATTGCCCAACATGAAAGCCTCTGACCTCAGAGGACTGACTCACACCACAGACCTACGCCCTCTGATGCAGGAGTAAAGACTGGTGCCTAAACCTAGGTGCTCACTCTCTGCTCTCTGTCAGATGTCTAGAATAGGCACTGCAAACTTCTCTCTCTTGTCTCAGTCCCTTCAAGGGCTCTACCAGGAAACAGCTCAGTAGGACTGAATGAATGAAGAGAAATGCTACTCATTTTTTGGCTGACTAAGCTGGTGCTGAAGAAATATTTCACTCTTGGTGTGCCAGTTCATGAAGCAAATGCAGAAAGATATTCTCATGGTGTACTGCACAGCATGCTGATTAAAGACTGAAGGAGGAACCGATGAGTTTGCAGAAATGGTTTGCTTTTTTTTTTTTGTAGTATGGTCTATATGATTTCTAGTATCTTGCAGTTTGGGATTTTTATTTTATGGGTGTTTTTTTGCTTGACATTGACTATTAAAATACGTGTTTCTGAAATGTAATGTTTGCTGGCAGGCACTGCTTTGCCTTCCATAAGACAGTATTTTCCTAAGGTAGAGGTCCTTTACCTCCAAAATCCTCAAGTTCTTTTGTTTGGTATGTTATTGGTTGAATACAAGATGCACTTGTGAGGCAATGGGAAACACTCAAAGCAGAAGCTGGATGTGCTTGCTTATCCATGGTGGTTGTCATTTAAATGGTCAGGATGTTTCAGCACAGATTTTTTTTTTTTCCTTTTCCTTTCTGTTTTGTTGAAAATATATTTATTCATATATGAAAATACATGTAACACAACAAAAAATTCGGAAGATCTATAGAAGCTTTGTGGAGGGATGAAAAGGCAAGGTCCACGCCGTGAAGGGGCCGGGACATCAGCAGCAAGTAGCTGTTTCTTTACATTGGCAGAAGTTTCTATTGCACTGGCAGGTTTTATAATGACAACTTCCTGCCCAAAATAACCTCACTATAGTTCCTTGGAGGTTCACCACCTCATGCAGCAAATTTTGATGGTATTGGCAGATCATATTAGGATTTTTTTAGTTTTGAGTGAAGAATGCTATTGTAGCATTAATGCCCCATGCGATCAGCGTTAAATTTGTTGTTATTTTCGGAAAGACAATATCCTATTGAATTTTTCTGATGCCGCCTTATGTTTTGGAAGGAGCTTGTCTTCCATTTCAACCACTTATAAATAGAATGTGCTACAGATATTTAGTACAAGTAAATAGCAATGCATTGTCTATAGGGAAAAATTATCAAATATGTTCAAATGTATTGATAGTACTCTTCATCACCTGCTTTTTTACTCTGCTCCTTTTTCCTTTTGGGTCTATGAACAGTCTCTGTAGACCTCTCGATTTTCTTTCACGCTTCTTAACAAACTAGACTTCCAGTTTGAGACAGATCTCCGCAGCACAGGTGTGATAAAGAACCTGGACAGGAAAGGCAACAGAACAAACCAGCAATTTCTGTTGCAACTTTATCGTGTGTGGGCTTCCACAGGACTTTATTCTTACCCTTGAAATTTCACATTCTTAAAATGTTAAGCCAGATCAGGATTTGCCTGGGGAGGGGCTGCCAGCCTTGTTCTTAGTCATTCACTGGGTGTGCGGTGTGATGAGCTAGCCTTCTGAACCATTCAGATTATCTGTACTAACAGCAAGCAGGGTTTCTGTTGTCTTGGTGTGTGGATGAGCAAATAAAGTTTGAAAGAGGCTGTAAGTACCATTTTGATTAAAGCGAATCCAGCTATTGAGTACTTTTTTAAGAGTTGTTTGCATTCAGGAAACTCTCCTACTACTAACAAAACGGAGAATATTTTCTAACAGTGATAGTTGTTATTTTTAAAAGAAAAACATATACCGACATGTCATAGGATATTATGACAGTGTTTTTATATAACTGTTAAAAAAATATGTATTACTGCAAAGATGCACTGAATTGTAAGGAATGACATTACATGTTCCCCTAAGGCTGATGGTGGTAGAGAAGTGATTTGGTATAATGTGAACATAGAAGATTACTATTATAATCAGTGTTTAATAAGAAGTATCAAACCTAACTTACTGTAATGTTTAACTTTCTGGTTTTATGTGTGCCTTTTTTTTCATCTTAAACTGCACCTGAATGTATAACTGTAATAAGAATGTTATGTATGACTTTTGATATAAAGAAGAGTTATTTTTATTCTGGATAACACTGGGAAAAATACAGAAACTTTACAGTATAGTAGCAAGTACTCTCAGTTTTAGGTCCATGATGAGGACACATGGAAATTTTATAGTTCAGTAGAACTAAAATCAATGAAGAGCACATAAGATATTTTCTTCTGTGCTTCAAGAGTTTGTTATCCAAGATTT